AATTCAAATCCCGGGCTTCATTTGCAACTGCGGATGACTACATTACCCCCGCTAGTTCGAACTAGCGGGGTAGTGTAGACATACCCTCTGTTGTTTTTCCCCTCAGTCTTGATTCCCATGGGACCTTACCTATCAGCTCTCTGAGCTTACCAAAATCTGCCTTCCCGAAATCCATTGTCTCTATTTTGCTGTTCTCCCTTCTACCCTTCCTTAGAATTGTGAACTCTGTGATTTCATGATCACTTTCACCCAAGCTGCCTTCCACTTTCAAATTCTCAACCAGTTCCACTCTATTTGTTAGGACCAAATCTAGAACAGCTTCCCCCCGGTAGCTTTTTCAATCTTCTGAAATAAAAAGTTGTCTCCAATGCAGTCCAAGAACTTATTGGATAGTCTGTGTCCCGCTGTGTTATTTTCCCAACATATATCTGGATAGTTGAAGTCCCCATCACCAGTTCTAGGGAGGTTAGACAGGAGCAAAGTGGGGAATGTGGGCATCAGGAGTGGGCAGGCATGAGAGCTAGGGGTACAGGGCAGCGTTCCCGATAAGCTGAACACTTGGGCAGCCACCCAGAAGAGATTGAAATGCTGCCCAGCTGATTAGCAGAGCACCCACAGCCAGCAGCATGTGTTTCTACTGGTGGTGCACACCCGCACATGCCTCAGTGCATGTAAAATGTATTCTGCACATGGATGGAACACATTAGCAGGAACATTGGGTGGCAGAGTTACAATGGGAGGTGATGGATTTGGGAAAGGGAAAGGGAGGTAACATGTGGGAGCAGGCAGGGACAGGAGCCAGGGCGAGGAGCCCAGAGTGAGCCTGTGAGGCAGAAGAGTGGGCGGGGCAGAAAGGAAGATGGAAAGAAGGGAGGCGGGGTATTGGTAATACAGAGAATGGGTGGGAGTGGCACCACCTCTTAGGTCTGAGCTTGTCACTTCCCATTTTCAGTTTTTCCAGTGACGCGGTTGCCTGTCTCTAAACCAAATGATTTTCCGTTTCCATGTGACTAGTGACACTGAGACATCATTCTCTGTTCTAGCGCCCCACGCACCCGTGCCATGCCAGCTCTCATCCTTCTTGGCCTCCACCTGGTGAGAGATGGAGCAGGTGACCTGGAGGTCAGGGAACAGGGAGACCCCATCAGGGTTCTCAAAGTCTGAAGCAGGACGAGCAAAGTGAGCATTGCCACTCAGCAGGATCTGGGGGGCGTCGGGTTGCAGCACCACCACGTAGCCTTCCACATCAGGGATAGAGACACAGGATTCCTCACTGAAGCACCTAAGAGAGGAAGGGGATGGACTGTTAGTACCTCTATGCAGACTTCTGCCAGCCCCCTCTTGGGGCTGGGGTAACACCACATCACCCTTTAACCGTCAGCTTCTAAGTGCTTCCTCGCAGCCTCCTGTGCTCTGCAGAGAGGTGCTCTGGGAATTGCTCCATTGCATTTCAACAGCACCAAGTCAGTGACAGTGACTGTGAAATACTCAGGGAGATTAGAAGGCTATCAAAATAAAAACTCAATATTAGTGGGGGATTTCAACTATCCCCATACTGACTGGGTACACGTTACCTCAGGACAGACTGCAGGGATAAAGTTTCTTTCCTTAAATGACTGCTTCTTGGAACAGTTGGTTCTGGAACCAGCTGGTTCTGGAACCCACAAGGCTGTTCTTGATTTAGTCCTAAGTGGAGCGCAGGATCTGGTCCAAGAGGTAAACTGGACCGCTTGGAAATAGCGACCATAATGTAATAAAATTTAATATCCCTGTGGTGGGAAATACATCTCAGCAGCCCAACACTGTGGCATTTAATTTCAGAAAGGGGAGCTACACAAAAATAAGGAGGTTAATTAAACAGAAATTGAAAGCTACAGTGCCAAAAGTAAAATCCCTGCAAGCTGCATGGAAATTTTGCAAAGACACCATACTAGAGGATTAACTTAAATATATACCCCCAAATTAAAAAATACAGTAAGAGAATCAAAAACAGTGGCACCATGGCTTAACAACCAAGTAATAGAAGCAGAGAGATTAAAAAAAAACAGTTTAAAAATTGGAAGTTAAACCCTAGTGAGGAAAATATAAAGGAGCATAAACTCTGTCAAACTATAAATATATAATTATGAAAGCTAAATAGGAATGTCAAGAACAACTAGCCCAAAATATAAAAGTAATAATTTTTTAAACTACATCAGGAGCAAGAAGCCAGCTAAACCAGCAGAGAGGTTACTGGACGATTGAGATGCTAAAGGAACAGTCAAAGGCAATAAGGTCACTGTGGAGAAACTAAATGAATTCTTTGCTTCAGTCTTCATGGCTGAGGATATTATGGAGATTCCCAAACCTGTGGCATTCTTTTTACATGACAAATCTGAGGAATTGTCCCTCATTGAGGTGTAATTAGAGGAGGTTCTAGAACAAATTTGATAAACTAAACAATAACAAGTCACCAGGACTAGCTGGCATTCACCCAAGAGTTAAGAACATAAGAACGGCCATACTTGGTCAGACCAAAGGTCCTTCTAGCCCAGTATCCTGTCTGCCGACAGTGGCCAGCACCAGGTGCCCCAGAGAGGGTATTTGTCTCCTGCCATCCCTCTCCAGCCTCTGACCAACAGAGGCCAAGGACACCATTTTATCCCCTGGCTAATAGCCTTTTATGGACCTAACCTCCATGAAATTATCTAGCTTCTCTTTAAACTCTATTATAGTCCTAGCCTTCACAGCCTCCTCTGGCAAGGAGTTCCACAGGTTGGCTACACACTGTGTGAAGAAGAACTTTCTTTTATTAGTTTTAAACCTGCTACCCATTTTTCATTTGGTAAGAATGAAAGAACCCAAATGTGAAATTGACGAAATACTAATTATAGTTTGTAATCTATCCTTTAAGTCATCTTTTGTACCAAATGATGGTAAGACAGCTAATGTGACACCAATTTTCAAAAAGGGCTCTAGAGGTGATCCTGACAATTACAGACCAGTAAGTTTAACTTCAGTAACAGACAAATTGGTTGAAACTATAGAAAGAACAAAATTATCAGACACATGGATGAACATAATTTGTTTGGGGGAAGTCAACAGGGTTTCTGAAAAGGGAAATTATGCCTTACTAATCTACTAGAGTTCTTTGAGGGAGTCAGCAAACATGTGGACAAGGGGGATCCAGTGGATATAGTGGATTTAGATTTCCAGAAAGCCTTTGACAAGGTCCCTCACCAAAGGCTCTTAAGCAAAGTAAGTTGCCATGAGATAAGAGGGAATGTCCTCTGATGGACTGATAACTGGTTAAAAGAAAACAAAAGGTAGGAATAAATAGTTTTCAGAATGGAGTGAGGTAACTAGTGGTGTCCTGCAGGGGTCTGTACTGGGATCAATCCCGTTCAATATACCGTGACAGACTTCTGGCTAAGACAGAGCTCTGCCACTACACCCTGGCTGAAAAGGCCAGTTGCAGCCAGCTGAGCAAGCCCAGGCCTAAAGGGCTAATGGAACTAGCTGTGGGCCTCATTGGCCAGAGGGCTATAAAAGGCAGCCTGAGGGGAAGTGGAGAGGGAGGAGCCAGGAGGTGGCTGAGTGTGCTTCTCCAAGCAGGAGGAGCGGCTCGCTGAGTTTGCTGTAAACCAAAGCTCTGTAAAGAGAAGGTGGTGGGAAATTGGCACTGACAATAAAAGGTAGGGGTGACTGTACCAGAAAGGGTCTCTGGTTGATTTGTGACCCAAGAAGGGGTCCCAAGGCAAGGGACCTGGGCAAGGACCTTGCCACAATATTCATAAATGATTGGGAGAAAGGGGTAAACAGTGACGTGGCAAAATTTGCAGATGATACCAAACTGCTCAAGATAGTTAAGACCAAAGCAGACTGTGAAGAGTTTCAAAAGGATCTCACAAAACTAGGCAACAAAATGACAGATTAATTTTAATGTTGATAAATGTAAAGTAATGCACATTGGAAAACATGATCCCAACTACGCATGCAAAATGAAGGAAACTAAATTAGCTGTTATCTCTCTAGAGAGAGATCTTGAAGTCATTGTGGATAGGTCTCTGAAAACATCTACTTGATGTGCAGCAGCAGTCAAGTGAACAGAATATTGGGAATAATTTAAAAAGGGATAGAGAATAAGACTGAGACTATTTGTATCGCCTCCATATAAATCTATGGTACACACACATCTTGAACAGTGTGTGTAGATGTGGTTGCCTCATCTCAAAAAAAGATATCTTGGCATTGGAAAATGTTATTTACTTGTTCCCATAACATAAGAACTAGGGGTCACCAAATGAAATTAATAGGTAGCAGATTTAAAACAAACAGAAGAAGTATTTTTTCTACACACTGCTCAGTCAACCTGTGGAACTCCTTGCCAGAAGATGTTGTGAAGACCAGGACTTTAACAGGTTTCAAAAAAGAGCTAGGTAAATTCAAGGAGGACAGGACCATCAATAGCTTTAGCCAGGATGGATAGGAATGATCCCTTTAGCCTCTGTTTGTCAGAAGCTAGTTATGGATGATAGGAGAGGGACCACTTGATTCCCTGTTTCTGTTCATCCCCTCTGGGACATTTGGTATTGGCCACTGTCAGCAGACAGGATACTGGGCTAGATGGACCTTTGGTCTGACCCAGTATGGCCGTTCTTATGTTCCTATGTTGTCACCATGAGAGTGTCATCACCATAAGCAGAGCTAAAACCAACATGAGTGAATGGGATAACTGACCAGATGCCAGCGCACAGTGCTGCAGGGGATGGCTCTGTGTTCATACTATATTCACACTCCCAAATACACCAGGGCAAGTGTTCACAAACTTTGCTACTTTTATCTCATCTGAGGAGGTGGGTGTGCCCACGAAAGCTCGTGATACGATATATATTTGTTAGTCTCTACGGTGCCACAGGATTACTTGGTATTTTTAAAGTTACAGACGAACACAGTTACACCTCTGAGACTTTAGTTAGGTTTTGCTCTTGTACGTTTTGAGATTACCAACCCTACATTAAAAGGCACCAGAGAAGAGCGAGTTTTACCAAGAGAACACTGTCTGTTGGTGAGCGTAATGGGAGGTGCAGCTTGCCATGAGCTACCAAGGGACACGTTGTGTGAGAACACTCCTACAGGCGCCCTGCAATTGGCCAGGAGCAGAGGTTCCCACTGGCACTGCTGCACTCACTTGACGGTGGTGGTGAGCTTGAGGGGCCGGACTCCGGGCGTGGCAAAGCGCAGCGAGTTCATGTATGCCACATGCTGGATTGCGTGGTTGAAGGTTTCCACATCGTCCCCCTCCAGTGTGAGCAGGGATTGGGAAGGATTCACATGAACCTATGGGAGGAAAAGGAAAGAACGGACTGAAGAGTCCCTGCGGGATGCTTTGATTTTGGACTCGAGATGACAAAGAGAAGTACAGGGAGATTCCTGGGGTGTGGCGGGAGACAGGGCTGAACAAGGGGGGGAGGGGCCATACCTTCATCCCTTTGCCAAGACTGTCAAAGTCACTGTAGTCAAGCCCCTCGCGACAGGCATAGAGGCACTCTATCACCTCCCGGCTCTCCAGGCTGCCGGGGCGGATGGTGAAGCCAGCCAGGTAACCGTGGAAGTAGTGGTGAATCAGCAGAGGGTCTCCTAAGGGGAACACAGGAGGAGGAGGAGGGTGTGAGAGACAGAGACAGTGCAGGGCCACAGGGGAAGCAAGAGCGAAAGAGGCAGCGGAGATGAAGAGAAGAGAAGGCAAACAAGATTGTGAGGGAAATATGGAGGTGAGAGGGAGAGAGAGAGAAAGGTGAGCGTGGGATGGGGGAAGACAAAAACAACAAGGAGGAGAGTTTACAAGAAGGGGGAGGACAAAATCTGGAAATCCAGATAGAAGAAAAGAAACTAGGCAGACAAGGGTGGAGAGAAGACTCTACCAAGACACAGAGGCCTTGACAGAGATGCTTTCCCTCACCCAGTCTTGTTTTGCTCTCTATGACTCCCATGAAGACATTCAAAAGGTCAAATCCCCACTAGATAATTTAGGGTGAGGCTGCATCTTCTGTGCCCCCAGCTCTTCATTTCCCCCCACTGTCCTCAGCATCCGTGCTCAGGAATGGAGACTATTTTACCTGTCTTCCACAGGATCAACATAGCCAGCCTGCCCAAAATGGGCTCCACTGCTCCCTGCGCCCCAGTCCTCTCATGTTCCACAGAGGTCAGAATGCTGCTAAATAACCAGTTTCCTTCCAGAGAAGATGGGGTGTGGGGAGGGAGCAGCATGGAGCACCACCATGCAAGAAGGGGATGACAGTCATGCGTGGGGGAGAAGGGGGTGATCTGCCTCACCCCAGTCCATACCTTGCATGGGATCTGTGGAGTTCTCATTCCCTCTCACTTTCTCTTTGGTTTTCTCCTCTGCAAGAAGCAAACAGTCACCTCATTGACTAAGCACCAGCCTTAGGGAGCAGGTGAGTTGTAGGGCCAGGAAAGGAAAGGCTGAGGGGCTCTGTCTGCCGTGTGTGGGGAAGGGGGTGGGGGGAACACACCTGCTCAGCATGAGGCCCGTCAGTCACAAAGGCTTCCCTGGCAGAGCAGGAAGGGGACAACCAGACTGATGTGGAGGTGAGCATACGGGGAGGGGAGTGTTCCCAGAAATATTGACCTCATGAACCTAATGCACAGACCCTAGCCACCTTCTCACCGGCCACTGGGCTTTCCCCTGTGAAACCTAGATAATTCCAGGGGGACTCACAAGGCTGCTGAAGAGTTTTTCTGGCTATATATGGCAAAAGAAAGAGCAGTGCTTGAAGAGCATTTCTGATCAAGAGAGGCATGACTGCAAGATGGGCCCAGGTGGTGGGAGACAGAAAGCAGCTACATTTTGTTGGCTCTGGGCCTGAGGGCTTTGAGCAGGGGGATCAAAATACACCTTGCAGAGAAAGAGGGAGCCTTTCATCTTCTAGGCACAGGCTCCAACCTGGCCTCAAGTCTGAAGCAACCTAGAGGCTCTTTCTGTCTGGCAGCCATTCACAGCCTTCCCACCCGTCTTCCATTTAGGAATTGAACTGAGATGCCCCAGCTCAGTCTAATGATATAGGAACTATGGGCGGTCAGTATCATAGGCCAGGGAAGGCACAGCCTTCCCAAAACTGCCTACATGACTGACTGCCTAAGGCTAGGGCCACCACTGGGGAAGGCTGGAACCGCGGCGTGGCAGCCCAGCTTCCCCCAGGAAAGGCAACACAGCTCAACAGCCCGACTGCTTGAGGGGGCCATGGTGCTGGGGAGGGCCTGGCTGGGGGCATCATGATAGCCCCAGCTCTCCAGGTGTCCAGGCAGGATGCAGCTGGGGGGAGCAGGGCTGGGTCTTACCTTCCCCAGACGGGCTTTCAGCTGATGCCCATGATAGGAACCCTCATCAATTAAACCAGCATCACTGCTGGCAGCCTTAGCAGACAGGCCAAGAACTGAAAGACTATTGAGACTGAACTCTCTTCTGAGCCTAGAGAGGATCCATCCAGGGGCAAGCATCCTCATGGATGCTTGTGCTGTCACTGCCCATTGGGATGCTGTTGGCATTTCCAACTGACTTGTCACCAGCCTGGGTTGGTCGATGGGGGAGGGAGGCAGCATCCTGGTTTTGGTGCTGAAAATGCCTCTTGAGCTAGCCAGTATTCTCATTGCATTGGCCCTTGCTTGGCATTAGTTGGAGCATCTTCTGGACCCTTCCGCTTCCTCTCCAGCCTCCCCCCTAGTGGGGGGCAGTGCTAGGATGGGGAACTTACCAGCCCAGCAGGCTCCGATCATGAGAGAAAGTTCTCGCCGCGGGGGATGGATGAGGCCATTGTCATGGATGAGCGCAGGGTCGTAGGACACGCCATCCACATAGAGTGTAACGGTGGGGAACTCCAGGTTGAGGGCATAATGGTGCCATTCATCATCACAGACCTGTGCTAGGCAGGAGAAGGAGAGGTCAGGAAGTGGAGGAGAGAGAGAGAGAGAGGGAGGAAGAGAGAGAGGCAGATCTTTCCTCACCTGCTCCAGCTTCCATAGGAACTTGACAGGTCTCGCGCTCTCCAGCAAAGGCCAGTAGAGGAAAGCAATTCGGCAGCCATGCACAGCCAGAGAGTAGTGAGAGTAGCCATCCTCTGTAGAAAGGGGGAGGGGGGGGCGTCAGGAAGTGGAGGAGAGAGAGAGAGAGAGGGAGGAAGAGAGAGAGGCAGATCTTTCCTCACCTGCTCCAGCTTCCATAGGAACTTGACAGGTCTCGCGCTCTCCAGCAAAGGCCAGTAGAGGAAAGCAATTCGGCAGCCATGCACAGCCAGAGAGTAGTGAGAGTAGCCATCCTCTGTAGAAAGGGGGAGGGGGGGGCGAGACGGAGTGGAGGAGAGAGAGAGAGAGAGGGAGGAAGAGAGAGAGGCAGATCTTTCCTCACCTGCTCCAGCTTCCATAGGAACTTGACAGGTCTCGCGCTCTCCAGCAAAGGCCAGTAGAGGAAAGCAATTCGGCAGCCATGCACAGCCAGAGAGTAGTGAGAGTAGCCATCCTCTGTAGAAAGGGGGAGGGGGGGGCAGAGACGGAGATGAAACAACAAAGGAGTTCCACAGATCACTGTCCTCGGCCCCTCAGAGAGCTGGGCTAGCCTGAGCAGCTGGGCTGAGGCCCCACCCACTCATCACACAGGACAAGAGCCCTTGCAGAAGAAGCCATTCCACCCCCCATGCCTTGCAACAGGGCAAGGGTCTCTCCTGGAGTGGGCTGCTCCCAGAAGACGTGATGGAGCCCATCTGGCTGGGAGTGGGCAGGGAGAGAATCCCTCCGGAAAGCAATGGTCCTGTTCTAGTCTGGAAGTGGAAAGACCTTGTCTATGCCGATGAGTGGGGGTGGGGGAGTATCAGTCTCACAAGAGGGCGGCCTGTCCCCAGGGCATCTCACCACTCTGCACCGTGCTGCAGATCACCGTCTCCTCCTCCTTCTTGCCCTTGCCAGGTGCCACAGCGTGTTTCATCCACAGCGACAGGGTGAAGTGGTCGCTGAGCCCCTCATGGGCACCCACCCCACTGCCCACAGGCACCTGCGCCACCTGGCTGCCATTGAACCAGTAGATGAGGCTGCTGTCCTGGCTGTAATGCACTGAGAGACGTGCCGTCCAGTTGGCCAGGGGGCTGGGCACAGGCAGCAGGTCGATTTCACCTGAGGCAGCACCTGCCAAGGAAGAGAAGGGAGACAGAGACAGAAGTCAGGGCAGACAGACAGACTCACAAGGCCCAGGGAGTGGAAGGGGCTGGGTGGAGCGTGACATGGGGGTGGGACTGGGAAGACACAGGGGCCTCTGAGGATGCAGGGGGTTTCTGACAGCTCTCTTTAGGACAGTGGGGGACTATCCCCCATGCTTCCCATGACAGGATGCAAGTATTGTCCCTCTGGCTCCCCTCAGTGCCCATGACTCCTCGTCAGGCCAGGACTGAAGGAAGGTCTAGGGGGCTCCCTAAGTGGGTGGGTAGCATCCCATGACCCCAATGGGCCAGTTATCCCCTGGGCTCTACTTGGTGCAGGAGTTGGAAAGGCTGCATGCCTGTGGCTCTCTGTAGAGTGGATGGAGGGCAGGTGACCCCCCCCCATAGCTCCCCTGGGGCAGGAGGGTTGCATACCACAGAGCTTGCGCAGCGACTTCTCAGAGTAGTTGTCACGGTCACAGCCCTTGGCCACATGGTTTGTCTGCAGCTCCACTGTGGCCTGGATGTTCCACAGCGGCTCATCACACGTCTCCAGGTGGATGCTGGGAAACAGGGCCAGACTGCCTGCGCCTGGCGCGTACTCGATCCGCTTATTCCAGCCTATTGGAGGAGAGAGAAGGAGGATTTAGGGCCCTGCCTTGGAGTCTTCCTAGGTCAGGGCAACTGGCATAGACCTATCACCTCTGCTGAGCTTCCCTGGAAATTTCAGATTGTTGGCCCTTTCCATATTGAAAAATTCATCCATCCACTGGGTTTTTGGTGCTGGGGTCAGCATGGGGATTGCACAGATTAGAGGGTGGATTGTGTCCTGGACTGATGGATAGCACAGAGACTCCTGGATGTGTGACATCTCTCCCATAACCTAGGGCCTGATTTTCAGAGGTGCTGAATTCCCCCAGTTCTTACTGACTTCAACAGGACCTGCATGAGCTCAACACTTCTGAAATGTACGTGTTGTCTCACATTGAGGCACCCAATATAAGTGATCATTTAAATACAGTATTGCACAGAAAAACACGCATTAACATGACAGTCAGGTTTCAAGGTCAAGCACCTGCAAGTTAGGAAATGCCAGAAATTCTGCCTCCTTGTGCACATGCATATGGCACAGTCTTCAGTGACATGATCACATACTGTCCATCTCATCAAGTGCACAGGAGAGAGGGGGGCTCTTTAAATAAGCAGCTAATCAATACTTTCTTTGCTGCTTGTAGTTCAATATCTGGCCCCAGGCCTCATTTACTCCACATTGTTCAAACCCTGCCCTGTAGGCAGAATTAATTTCCTTATGGACTTTTCTATGGTACTGATCATTACAGTATCTGAGTACTTCACAAGCACCAGTGAGCTTATTTTCACTTATTTCCTCATTTCACAGCTAGGGACCTGAGGCACAGAGAGATTAAGGGCAAAAGTGAGAACTAATTCTGGGTGCCCAATTTGAAACATTAAGGACCTGATTTTGAAACTTAACCATGAGACCCTCCTCTACAACCTCCTGTTTCCTTTACTACATGCCTTCCAATTTCTGCAACAAATGATGCAAAGATCCTACAGCACACAGACTCCTTCCCTGAGCAGCTCTGATTTCCTCCTTGAGCACTATCAGTTCTGTGCACTGAACAAAGCAGGGGTTTTGTAGGAAAAAAAAAAAAAGAGTATGTGATCACACAGTTAAATACCATTATAATGCACATGTATAACGTGGCTGAATTAAAGTTGCAAAAGCAACCTTAATATTGTTCATTCCTAACTTTTCGGTGAGGCTTTGCAATCCATGTTATTGTAACATACTTTTTTGTATGCCATTTCCTAAGTTTTAAAAAAAGAAAACTGAAGAGACAAAAATCCAGTCATGTGGATTCATACTGACATTCTCATGGTTCATCAGCGGGGTTGGAAATTTCAGATCCAACACAAAGGGTACATCTAGACTACAAGCCTCTTTCGAAAGAGGCTTTTTTGAAAGTATCTTTCAAAAAAGCCTCTTTCGAAAAAGAGCATCTAGACAACAAGAAGATTTTTTCGAAAAAGAGACTCGCTTTTTCGAAAGAGAGTCTAGACGCTCTCTTTCAAAAAAGCCCTGTTTTCATGCAATAGCGCCTTTTTTCGAAAGATGACTTTCGAAAAAAGGCGTTATTCCTCGTAGAATGAGGTTTACTGCCATCAACAAAACCACCACGTTCTTTCAATTTACTGTCGACAGAACATGGCAGTAGTCTAGATGCAGGTAGTTTTTTTGAAAAAAGGCCATTTTTTTTTCAAAAAAACCCCCTGTAGTCTAGACACACCCGAAGAGTCCTACCCCTTGAGTTCAGAGTGACTGAGAGCACTTGTAGGTTGTTATCCTCGGTGGGAAGCAGCACTAGTGGGGGGGTGGGATGCTCTGCCGGGGGGTTACCCGGCTATTTGCTGACAGCTGAGGAATGATGAGACTCAAGGCACGTGGCTTCCATTCCAAGCTCTAGAGGAGAGTGTGCTCTAGTGGGCAGACTCTTCTCTCTATTCCCTCCAAAACTTGACCCTTTCCATTCCAACCCCTCCAATTTGTTCAGTCTCAGTCCTGTCCCTACTGGCTCCTTGTCCCAGTCCCATTCACCTCATTCAATCAGTCCCAGTCTCCAATCCTCTGGCTTCAGATCCCAATCCCAAGCTTCTTGTTCAGTAAATTCTAGTCTCACCCTGGCAGACTCCACAGCCCAGTCCCACTCCCAGTCCCCTTGCCCTGCATCCCAGTCTTCCCCCAGCTCCTCTTCCAAGCTCAGTTTCCTCCCCGACCACACTCCCAATTTCTCTCCCCTGGCTCCCAGCCCTATTCTCATTGCCCAACCAGTGCCAGACTCTGCTTACCTCTGGATCCCAGCTCTCAGTCCTGCTCCAGCTGGCCTAGTCCTAATCTCTATCCCTGAGACATGTCCCAATCTCTCCCCCCACCCCACTCCCATTCTCCCCTGCAACACCCCAGGTCCAGCTCTTGTACCTTCAGCATTTGAATCAGTTGGCTTCCTCCTCTGTACTGCCTAGGTGCTGGCAGGGGTAGGATTACTGAGACTGCAGGAGAGACAGGCTTCCTTTTCTCTTTTCCAGGGTCCAGCCCCACCCCTCCGAGAGCAGCAATTACAGCCCAGGGAAAGCTCATGTGCCCCTGCAGCCCTGTGCTGGATGGAGCTTGCTCAGTCACTCCGTGGGGTAGCACACGCGCTCTCCAGTCAGCACTAGGAGCTGGGAGCAAGCGGATGGAGCGTGCTCAGGGAGGATGGAACTTTTAGAGATTTTAGCTGTAACATTCTTGTACATCTGTGCTGAGCACATGCAAACTGTGATTGTTCAAAGCCTTATAACACAGGGACAACAAAAGGCACTGCCACAAACGCCACTGCCTGTCAAATTTCAATTCCTCTCCCAAGGCACAAGGACTCTAGAAATGGCCAAAGAAAATGTTACTCAAAATTTTTTTACACATATTTTCCACCTATAATCCTGTTTTCCCTTAGATTTTTTCCAAGCACTTACAAAAAAAATAATTCAACCCGAGGCAATCAACCAGCTTGGGAAATTTCATCCCCAATTAGCAAAGTTATAAGGAATTGAAAACAAAGCCATGTAATGGGTCGTGTCAGGCAACCTTAATAATAGATAGGGCTATCAGCCCTAGCTGTAATATGGCACCTAAGAACACTCCAAGCTTCTCACAGATGCAAGCAATGATCTCCCCATAGTGGTGTTTGCTACCCCATAGCGTTGTAACACAGTGACAGCACAGTTGTGCTGATCAGTTGTACCTGTAATTAAGCAAATACATGAACATTTATACACATTTGCAATTGGCTTTGGGTTTTTCTGACGATGTTGGTGAGCACGGCGAAAGGTCAGAGGTTAGGATCTTTACACTCCCACAGCAGATGAGGGTGGGGTGAGACTCTACACTGCGTGGGTTGGGGAGGTGAGGAAAGTATTAAGGGTGACGGGACGATATGGAGAAAGTGTTCAAGCGTGAAAGGGTGGGATTATGGTGGGATGGGTTGGGGGAGCTGGACCATGAGGGGAGGGCTAGAGGTGAGGATATGGTCAGGATGGGAGAGGAGGCTTCATACCTTGCCAGCTAGGTTTGCAGGTGGGCTTCACTTGGATCTCCACTTCAGCATCATCAGACGCTCGCTTCTTGCCACAGTCATAGGCCGTAACTGTGAATTTGTACAGGCGCTCTCCATTGTATTGCAGCTTTTCAGTGTTCTCAATGTTCCCTGGTGGAGAGAGACAGGGGGTTAGTGGAGCAGAGAGCCTGAGACAGGCAGGGAGAAAAGGACAGACACCTATCAGGAGTCAGGGAAAGTGGAAAAGAAGGGAGAAGAGGACAGAGTAAAAGGGAGAGATGCACTTCAGCAGAACATTGCTCCATTTCCTTGCTCGCAGTGCACCAAGAGTCAGTCCCACTCTATAACAACATCTATTGATTCACCACCACAGCAAACAAGGCAGAGCCCAAGCAAAGTCCTCATTCAATGCCACTTTGTGTCTGTTCTGTAACATGCTGAAGCACCTCTGTAGACAAAAGGGCAGCTGTCTCTGCTCCAAGGCTGAGGAACGCAAGCAGAGCTGAAAGGATCACACACTACCACTCATGTGGGAATGGACCAGGCCGAGGTGGCAAGGGGTACAGGAGGTGAACTGTGATCTCAGAGGGATATGGAGGCAGGCTCTCACCATCATTGTCAATCAGGAAGGGGATGTTGGGAGTGAGGATCTCATAGTAGCAAATCTGGCTGTACTGGGGGGAGCAGTCTCCATCGATGGCCTCCACCCGCAGGATGCGGTCATAGAGTTTCCCCTCAGTTACTGCCACACGGTATAACTTCTCCACAAAGACCGGAGCAAACTCATTCACGTCATTCACCCGTACGTGCACAGTGGCCCTGATGGAGACAGAGAGGTGAATAAACAACTGGTTGACGAGGCAGTGACAGAGAGCAAGAGATCAAACCAGGGAATGAAACCTAGGTCATTCACAAGGCAGACCAAGAAAACAACCCCCAATGGGCACCAGCCTCATCCCAGTCCTCAAAGAATGCAGGGAATGAGAATGCAGGGAATGAGATTTCGGCCCCCACACAGCAGCACTGACTTCTAGGGATTCGGCCAGGATCTCTCAGGAAAGAGAGAGACTGTGTTGGAAATTGATGGAAAGTAGAGATGTAACATCCCAATTAATCAGTTACCCGGTTAGACATTAGGCCCTGGTTAGGCGAGGGCTGCTGCTACCTCAGCTACCAGCAGCAACAGGAGGCTCCTGGCCCCAGCACTACTGGTCTCCTGGCCCTGGTCCCGGGACTGCTGCTGCCACTGGTGGCAAGACTGTTCCAGGTCCAGGGCTGAGGTTACCACTAGCTCCCAGCCCTGCTGGGGCAGCCCTCCGTCAGTGGCAGGCTGTGAGCAGTAAGCATCATCAGGTAAGGGTGATGCTTATCAGGTAACTAGTTACCCATTCACATCCCTAGTGGAAACTATAGTAGAGAAAATTATGAGCAAACTCATGGTTTGTGGAGGAAGAGGCAACAAAACTTTTGTAAAGGGAAATCATGCCTCATCGATCTATTAGGATTCTTTGAGGGAATTATTTGAGGGAACAAATATGCGGACAAGGATGATCCAGTAACTACAGCGTACTAGTACTTTCACAAAGCCTTTGCTAAGGTCCCTTGCCAAATGCTCTTAAGCAAAATTAGCAATCATGGGATTAGAGGAAAGGTCCTCTGAAGGATCAGTAAACAATTAAAAGGTAGGAAACAAAGAGTAGGACTAAATGGTCAGTTTTCACAATGGAAAGAGGTAATTAGCAGTATCTCCTAAGGATCTGCATTAGGATGTGTGCTATTCAACATATTCATAAATTATCTGGAAAAGAAGAAAAGAGTGAGCTGGCAAAGTTTGCAGATGATACTAAATTACTCAGGAGAATTAAGTCCAAAATTGAATGGGAAGATGTACAAAGGGAACTTGCAAAACTGGGTGGCTGGCCAACAAAATGGCAGATAAAATTCAATGTTGTTAAGTACAAAGTAATGCTTATTCTAAAACATAATCTCAACCATACATATAAAATGATGGGGTCTAAATTAATTGTTCCACTCAAGACAGATCTTATAGTCATTGTGGATAATTCTCTGAAAATAGCTGCTCTGTGTGCAGCAGCAGTCCAAAAAAGCTATCAGAATGTTAGGAACCATTAAGAAAACAGAAAAAAAATCACATTTCCTCTATAAATTCATGCTACACCCTCACTGTGAGTACTTTGTGCGGTTCTGGTCATCTCCACTCAAAATATATTAGAATCCAGAAAAGTACAGAGAAGGGCAACAAAAAGGGCTAAATAATAGTTTCCACATGAAGAGAGATTAAAAAACTGGGAGTAATCAGCTTGATTACTGATCATAATGATTGATAATCATGAATGCTGTTGAGAAAGTAATTAAGAAAGTGTTATGTGGTGGGACAAATAATAGAAGAACAAGGGGTCACACACTGAAATTAACAGCTAGCAGGTTTAAAATTAACATAAGTACTTCTTCATGAAAAGTGCAGTCAACCTGTGGAACTCATTTCCAGGGGATGTTGTGAAGACCAAAACTATAACTAGCATTTCAAAAATAATTGGATAAATTCTTGGAGGTTCCATCCATCGATGGCTATTAGCCAAGATGGTCGGGGATGCAACTCTATGCCCCCAAAGCTGTGACAGGACAACAAGGGGTGAGTCACTTAATACATTTGCTCTATTCTGTTCATTCCCTCTGCAGCATCTAGCATCAGGTTCTATTGGAAACAGCTGTTTTCCAATAGAATAGGGCAAATGTATTAAGTGACTCACCCCTTGTTGGCCTAAATGCACCCAGTATGGCCGTTATTATGTTCTTACATAAAGCAATTTGGGGCTTTTGTCCATACCTCAGCACAAAGCACTAACACCTAGGACAGTACTCTCAGACATGCATCACTTCAAAGAGCATCACTCATTTGCCCCATAGTTACTGACAATCTATACACACTTAGTGTTGCCTGACTTTTATTGTTGGAAAAATACAGACTGGTGAACCGGAGGCTCTGAAAAGAGCCATTGGCACCAGAGGAGGTTCCTGCATGAATCATTTGAGTGTCCTCTCCCCCCCCCCCCCCCCCCCGCGGGGCGGGAAGAGGGAAGCTCCAGCCACCACAACTCTCCACTGCTGCCTCACTTGTGGGATTTCTTGGTATTGGTCCCATCAGGTCCCTCTCCGCAGTCGTATGCCTGGATAGTGAAGGTGTGCTCCTTGTGAGCCTCACAGTCCATCGGCTCCTTGGCCCGGATCAGCCCCTCACCGGTGGCCTTGTCCAGGATCACAGCTTCAAAGGGCACTCCAGCCCCATGGATCCGGAAACCACAGATCTCACCTGGCACCCCCCAAACAGGGGAGAAGGAAGAGAGAGAGGCAGAAAAAAGAAAAGAAACAGGCCAGTGAGGACAGCAAGAAGTTTCTGTGCCCTATCACCCAGCCCTCATCCACCTCGCTGTCTCTCTGCAACTTGATCCTGCCCCCTTCCCCTCCCACCATGTCATCTTGCAAACACCCATCTCCCTTTTGCCTCACAGCTCCCTCCTCATGTTCCCAGCTCTCTCTGCCTGAGAATGATGATTTCTGGTTGCCTCGAGGCTTCTTTGTGGCAGCTCAGGCAAGAGCTCCCAGGGCAGGGCACTGCTTTCCTGGCTTTAAGAAAGATTCCCAGGAGCACTGGCAACTGGTACAAATTAAGGCAAGCCACTTGGGGCAAGTCTATACAGCAGGGCTAAAGTAAAATTAATCTGAGCAACTTCAGCTGTGTCAATTGTGTAGTAAAAGTCGAAATAGGTCAACTCGACTTTTGGTGCTGTCTACGCTGCAGGAAGTGGAAGGAAGAGCACTCTTCCTCCAACTTCTCTTACTCCTCGGTCAGTGAGGATTATGGGAGTTGGAGTAAGAAGTCCTCCAGCCCGCCATTATTTCTAAATAAAGGCTGGGAGTGTAGATGCATGCAATGTTATTTCAGAATAATGTCACTTATTCCCAAATAATGCTGCTGCGTACCTACGTTGTCCTAAGGGGTCCTTGCCAGAGGTGCTGTAAAGCCATCAGTCCCTGTGCTAAGCAACCATCCAGAACTAGGATAAAGTGTCTCATCTCTTTCTGGGTTTCTCCTCCCCATCTTCTCTCCACCAACCCTGTTGCCCAAGTACCTGCATAGCGCAGTGGTGCATCCTTGTCCAGAGCAAATAGTGGTGGGTTGAGCAGGACTGTGTTATCATTCTCCATGACGATGCCCTGGTATTCGGCCTCGATCCAGGGCTTGTGCTTGTTTGCTGAGAGGATTTGGGGGACAGGAATGGGAGGACAAGAATGAGTTAGCCACAGTCATAGAAGGCTCCCCAGACAGGCTGGGGGCACCACCCTTAATCCTGAAATAAAGGAGGCCCAAAGTAGATTGATAAGGGGCAGGAAGAGATAATGCTTGTGTGTGTGGCTCTGGGGAGCTACCACTATGCTCTGTCCTGATGGAGCCCCTCAATTCCTAGCAACACACAGACAAGAGCCACAGCAACACTGCAGGGGCTGAAGGAGCCAAGTTCTAAGGAGAGATTCAAAGAGAAAAATCCTGCCCTGCTCCCAGCTTAATAAAAGTTACAATTTAAGGGACAGAGCCACCCTTAGAACTTCCCTAGGGACTATTCCTGTGGAGCAACCTTACCACATCCCCCCACCTCCTGACTGGGCAAGGGCTTGAAAGGGATCCCTAGAAACTCCACTGACAGATATTCCATGCACATGTCTCACTCCCTGAGCTCCTTTCTCCTTCATCCCTGGCTCCATGTCATGTCCCATATTCCCCTGGCCCCTCCTTGTTGCCCGAAGTGCTAATCCTGTTGGCTGGAGCCTGGCCAGACTCAGCATTGAGACAGCAGCCGGCAGGAGGCTCTGAAAAATGTCACAGGCCCAGAAAGAGAAAATTAATCTTTATAGGAGGAGGGAGGGATGGAGAGGGCAAAGGAAAATCATTACAAATGATCAGCCCTCCCCACCATCTTACCCCTGTGGAATGGGCCTCAGAGATTATATTGCAATGGCCTAGTTTCAACCCCCATCTAATCGTCCCACCCCATTCACCCAGTCCACGCAGACAAGAGTACAGTCACGCCTGGGCAATGCTCTGACTACACAGCAGGGGCTCAGAGGGGTGGTGGAATGAGAGACAGAGCCTTTCACCTCAAGGGCACCATGGGGCCTGTTCCTGCAGCAAAGCTCTGTTTAGCACAGTGTTGGAGGATTCGGATCAGCACCCTATAGGAGCCAGACACTCATTTGCAAGGACCAGACCTGAGGTGCATTGGCAGAGAACACTGTGAGTAGGGAGTCCAGGGCTCAGGCTGCAAGCCGGGCTCCAGGTCCGGACAAGAAGCAGAAGAAAAGCTGTGTGCAGGGATATCCAGCCTGCGCAGCTGTGGGCTGGGATTTTTCTCTCACCATATTGATTAATGCTGTATTGTGTAGAAATCCCAGTGAAACAGACACTCTTCCTTTATTCTCAAGAGCTGGGGGCTCCTGTGTGCAATTCCCACCTTCCCACCCACCCCCACGCTAGAAAAGCCCCCTCCCATTCCACTCTGAGCCAGGTTCTGGTTTATAAATTGTCACAGAGGCAGAAATCTATGGCTGTAAATGCCAGGTACCCCGGTTGCTGGGGCAACAAGCTGATGGCAGAGGGATAAATCTTGACTGACTCCATCTGTCAGCTGGAAGGCACCAGGGTGATTTCTTGGGAGGGAAATCTCCCAGGATCAGGGGCAGGCTTTGGGGGAAATCTCTGGGGGCAGCTCCTGGAAGGTCCCATGGGGAGCCAAGCCACTTGTGAACAGCAGAAGCTACGTTGGGCTTGGGCGGTGCAGTTCGCTAAGGCAAGGAAGGGCATTTAGCCCCAGGGGGCCGTAATCCATGATTGCTCCCTCAGTACAAAAACACCACCAGGTAACCCCCTCCAACACCAACACCCCCCTCTGCACCTGCAGCCAGAAAGGGAACCGGCTCTGCAGCCCGGCCATGGGGCCTAGTCCCCCCCCCCAATGCCTTCCGCCCCTCCTGTGCCACTCCGCCTCCTAGACTAGTCCCCCCTTTCTCACTCCACCCGCCGCCTCAGGCTCTTGCGTCTGCGCCCCCAGCCAGAGAGCTGGGAACCCGCGCTGTGCGCCTGCGGTTTGGACAACACCGTGCTCGGAATGCCTGAGCTCCAGGGCGGGTCTCCGCGCCCGGCACAGCGGATGCCCTGGCTCCGCTAGGCGACGCCCAGAGGTTGCATAGTCCCGTGCCCCGCAGGCAGGTCTCCGGGGACGCGTCCGGACGAAGGGTGGAGACTGGGGGGCGGTTATTTCAGGCTGTATTCCAGCAGGGGGCAGGTACCCAGGGCCAGGGAGCTGCACCAGCGGCGGCTCTGGGGAGAGCGAGGACTCAGCTCGGAGGAAGAGGGAGCGAGCGGGCCGAGGCCCTGGGGACGCGCTAGAAAGGGCGAGGGAGGCGGGGGACGGCGGGTACCAGGCGGAGCGAAGGGTGGAGACTGGGGGGCGGTTATTTCAGGCTGTATTCCAGCAGGGGGCAGGTACCCAGGGCCAGGGAGCTGCACCAGCGGCGGCTCTGGGGAGAGCGAGGACTCAGCTCGGAGGAAGAGGGAGCGAGCGGGCCGAGGCCCTGGGGACGCGCTAGAAAGGGCGAGGGAGGCGGGGGACGGCGGGTACCAGGCGGAGCGCGCGAGGGATGCCCGGGGAGAAGGCAGCACCCAGCTGGAGCCAGGAGCTGGCTCC